AGGGACGGGGTCTGGGGTTGGGATGGGAGATGTGGGTCTGGGGTCAGGTTTGGGTCTGGGGTCCCGCTGTGGGTCAGGCTGTGGGTCTGGGGTCACCTTGCTGATTTTGATGGCGCAGGGAGCCCCGGGGAAGCCGGGCAGGGACAGGGTCTGGGGTCAGGTTTGGGTCTGGGGTCCCTGCTGTGGGTCTGGGGTCAGGTTTGGGTTACAGATGTGGGTCTGGGGTCCCGCCGTGGGTCTGGGGTCACCTTGCTGATTTTGATGGCGCAGGGAGCCCCCGGGAAGCCGGGCAGGGACGGGGTCGGGGGTCAGGTTTGGGTCTGGGGTCAGGTTTGGGTCTGGGGTCAGGTTTGGGTCTGGGGTCCCGCTGTGGGTCTGGGGTCCCTGCCGTGGGTGTGGGGTCACCTTGCTGATTTTGATGGCGCAGGGAGCCCCGGGGAAGCCGGGCAGGCAGGTTTTGAAGGCCGACAGCTCCGAGAAGGGGCCGCGGCCGCAGGCGTTGAGCCCGGCCACGCGGAACTTGTACGCCGTGCCCGGCTGCAGCTCCTGGCGCCGCAGCTGAGAGTGGTCCGGGACCCCCGAGGCCTCGTCCTGGGGGGGACAGGGAGGGGACACCGATAAAGAAACCCCCCTGGCCATGGGGACACCCTGGGGACACCCTGGGGACACCCTGGGGACACAGAAGGCAAACCCCAAACCCCCCCAGAAGTTTGGTGTCCCCAGGGGTGTCCGAGTGCCACTGGGGTGTCCCACAGCTGTCCCAGTGTCCCCCCAGTCTGTCCCAGTCTGTACCAGTGTCCCCAGTGTCCATCCCAGTGTCCCCAGTGTGTCCCCAGTGTCCCCAGTGTCCATCCCAGTGTCCCCAGTGTGTCCCCAGTGTGTCCCCAGTGTCCATCCCAGTGTCCATCCCAGTGTCCCCGATGTCCCCAGTGTCCCCAGTGTCCCCAGTGTCCATCCCAGTGTCCCCCCCAGTGTCCCCAGTGTGTCCCCAGTGGTCACTCATGTCCAGGGGCGAGTCCTTGGCCAGCAGGAAATAGTGAGTGACCATCACGGTGGTGCCCTGTCCCAGTCTGTTCCAGTGTCCATCCCAGTGTCCCCAGTGTCCATCCCAGTGTCCATCCCAGTGTCCATCCCAGTGTCCCCGATGTCCCCGATGTCCCCAGTGTCCCCAGTGTCCCCAGTGTCCATCCCAGTGTCCATCCCAGTGTCCATCCCAGTGTCCATCCCAGTGTCCATCCCAGTGTCCCCAGTGTCCCCAGTGTCCCCAGTGTCCCCAGTGTCCATCCCAGTGCCCATCCCAGTGTCCATCCCAGTGCCCATCCCAGTGTCCCCAGTGTGTCCCCAGTGGTCACTCACGTCCGGGGGCGCGTCCTCGGCGGGCAGGAAGTAGTGAGTGACCATCATGGTGGTGCCCTGTCCCAGTCTGTCCCAGTGTCCATCCCAGTGTCCATCCCAGTGTCCCCAG